ATTTAAAAAATTTTTTACAATATTTTAAAGAAGCATATCCTTTCTTAAAAAAAGAAAATAATATAGATAATATAGATGATATTTTAAATAAATCTTTTAATAAATTAAATATAGTTTAATATATAAATTTTAAATTAAAACATGATAAAATTTCTAAAAATATAAAGTTATAAATGTATATTTATTAATAATTCTTAATAAAACTATAAATTTATTTTTTTATTAACATTTTGCATATTAAGTAATTCTGCAAGTCTTTGTGAAACTTTTCTAAGTTCTTCAAGATCATTATCGTCATTGTCAGTTCGTTGCATTTGAAGATTTTTAAATATCTCGTCTAATGCAAGTTTTTGTTTTTGATTTAAACCAGATCCGGAATTATTAGGTGGTTTATTAGCACCTGATTCATTTGGATTAGAACCTCCAGTATTCGAACCTCCTCCAGTAGGATTATTATTACTAGCCGAACCACCATTTCCACCAGTTGGATTGCCTCCTTGACCTGTATTTGAACCAGGATTACCAGATGTATTTCCAGAACCTGAATTTGATCCTGGATTATTTGGATTACCAGTTGAATTACCTCCTCCCGATCCAGAACCGCCACCACCACTATTAATCAAAGGCATATTTCTTCCTCCGAATCCATTCACATCACCCAATAATAGAAAAAACATTTACCCTTAAAACTAGTCAACTCCTTTTCATGTACATTATAAATAAGCTGAATAATATGATCTGAATGTGGTAATGTGTACCAATTCGAATCAACTTTTTCAATTGCAAATTTTTCTTGAGCAGGATTTAATCTTTGCAATTCTTTTACTGCATTGTACCATTCGTTTACAATATTTTCATTAGCAAATATACCTAAATATCTGGTATTTTGAATATTTTGACGTGAAATAAAATAAATATAAAATGGCATTTTATTTTTATTAATAAATTTCAAATTAATCTTCGTCAGACAATTCTATAAAACTATTACTAATACTAGTATTACTACATTCACTCGATTCATCAAATCTACCACGTTTTATATTTTCACTCTCTCTTTCATTTTCATCATAACTCATTCTACGTTTCCCATTACCACCATTTTCATAATTTAACATTTTATCATATTCAAAATCCTCCAAAGTTAACACCAATTCTTTTTCATCCCCATCTTTATCTATATAACTAATAACCACACTTCCACCATAACGCAAAGATTCATTTGTTAAATTTCCATCCTCATCCTTTTTTCGTAAATCGAAATTTCCTATATTAATTATCAAACAATTTCGTCATAATTCTTTTTGAAAAATTTCATCTTCGATTGGATATGGGTTCCCTGATTCATTTAACAAAACAACACAAGGTTTTGAACCTTTATTTTTAATGGTTTTCGAATACGCCGTTCGTAAATTAAATTCTTCTTGACAAAATAACATTTCTCTATACGTATCCATTATTGATCTTTTTTGATCACCATTATGTTTAAAAAAATCAATATCGTCAAGTATCACATATTTTGCATTATTATTCCATTGTTTTGATTCTCTAAGCTTACAATAATATATATGTGGTAATTTTAAAGATCTAAACAAAGCAGTTTTACCTAAACGAGTATTCCCCACAATCATTATACTCTTATACTGTTTCTTTTTTGTAAATAAATTTTCTTTAATCCAATTAAATATTATTTTTGGAACCCAGAAATCATCTAATTCATAAGATGATTTATAATACAATTCTTTTTTGATTTCTACCTTCTCCTCTTCTTCTTTTCTTGTTAAATGAAGTTTATGTAATTGCATAATATGTTTTGTTACTTTTGGATCTCGTTTAAAAATATTAATAAATTCATAACCTTTTGATTGATCAAG